CACATTTATTCTGAAAGTATTTTTGCTTTGAAAATTGTAATCTTCATATTTTGGCACTGCCCTTTTGTTCTGGGAATCCCGAAGCTGTGCTTTGGGCTGTAGGTTAACACCGTGGACGTAGATTTAGCTGGTCAAATCAAAGCCAAAAGTGAAAGCCTGTGTCTAGGTTAGCCTGGTGCGTGTTAGTTAATCCCCACTTAATCTCCATTTCTTTTTCTAATCTAAGCAAACACTTTAAAGCTACTGCAGCCCGAGAGCGGCTCCCATGCCTGGGCACTGTTTCAGCCTCGCTACCCGAAGAGGGACGGGGTGTGCAGACCCCCTTACCGTCAGCGTTGCAGGGACATGCTTTTTTGGTTCGCCCCGATCCTGCTGTTGGGGGGGTTGAGGCAGGGTCTGAAACAGATCTCAGCAGCGACCCTGGGGCTGTGGAGGTGATCCTGGGAGGTGTGTGGGGTGCTACAGCGGCTGGAGAGATGGCACCAGAGCGAGAGCATCGGCAGTGTCTGCCTGTGTTTCATTGCAGTGGATGTCAGCATATGGGAGGGGAGAGGGCAGATGGCCGCACTGCTGCCGAAAGGCTGTGATGCTAAAGTCTGTGTTTCATGTACTTGCTACCCTTTCGGCTGGGGCAGTGGGAGCTTTCCCCCTTTCCCAGCTGCAGTCACATGCTGGGAACCACTAATCCTTCCAGGTGCCCGTGCTTGTGTTTTCCAGGGGGGCAAGCTGTGATGGAGAGACCTCCACTTTGCCAAGACATTAAAACAGCCCAGGAGCTGGCAGACTTTTTAAAGCTTCAGAGAAATAGTAGCCAATTGCTAATGGTTGCTTAGCTCCCCACGCCTCCCGGTGTGTCTGACCCACGTGCTCTCCCGGCGCTGAGATAACTTCCGTGCTGCTCCGCTTGTCGTTCCCATCCCAGGCTGCGTGGCAGCGATGCACCCCAGCCCCCCGGGGGGAATACCTAATGCAACTGCCTGTTACCAGCAGTTAGTAGAAGCAACTGCGATTCTGATAGTTGGGGAGGACCTATTCTGTGTGTTTATTTTTCCCCAAATTTAGCTCTGGAGGGTTGTTGTCTCAGTGGTGAAAAGCAATAACAGATAATTGGAGTAAATCGGCCCTTGGTTGGCCTTTAGTGAGCAGCCCCTAATAACTGATTCACGTGTGCAGTGTTTCAGCGTGAGGCCAGGGTGTTGCTGCTTGCTTTATTTTCTTTAAGGTAGTGTGCTGCAATAAAAAGGAGCAAAGCTTTAAAGAAAGCAGAAAATTTTTATTTTGGAGTATAATTCAGAGTGTGACTCCTGAATCTTGCTGAGGCATGGGGCCCTTTACTAGCTCTCTTCATAAAGGCAGAGTTTATAGGAACCAGGAACTGAATCTAACTCCTGTCAAAGCAAAAGGAAGGATTTCTATTGCTTTAATGAGTTTTTCCTGATTCTAGGCCAGATCCAAAACTCTCAAGAAAAAAAGCTGATCACCACATTTGGGAAAAATGTAGATGGGATGTATTTACTTTGTGGGTTTTTACCTTCCATCAAAGATGAGAGAGTGCTTCCAAGAGCTTTATCCCTTGTTGCTGTGAACAACCGCAGTGCCGTGGAGGGCTGTGAAAGTGTGCTGACTTACATCAGCGGATGCAGGGAATGTATTAGACCAAGGAAATTGAACTTTCAGCACCAAGTATGTGATCCAGTGCTCCCTCCAAGGAGGAGACCCCGTTGGGATGCGGAGCTGGTTCCCAGAGCAGAGGCCACTGCGCTCGGTCCCTGCTGCTGCTGGGGCACGTGAAGCTGTTACAGCAGCATTCGCGGGGCTCTGCCAAGGAACCCTTTACAGCTGGAAAGGTTTCAGTGTCTCAGTTTGCAGGAAGTGCTTTGACAGTGACTAGGGGAAAAAAAGAAGAAATGCCAAGCTCTGTAAAGAAGCAGCAAATAAAAAGCAAAGGCAAACGTGTCCAGGTGGAGATCTAGTTTGGAGTCATTGTGCTGATGGAATTTGATTCTGTGATGTCTCGGGTCATGTCTCCTTCCTATTTTCAATCTCTAAATCAGCTTGCGAAGACAAGCAGTTATGATGGACATCTGTTATGCTACTTCTGGACAAAAGCAATGGCATTGTAGGTTGTCAGTGGGTTTCTTTTTTTTTTCCTCTTCTTTTTTTAATCTGGTTTCCTAAGAAACAAGAATTGTGTGATTGTTCTCTCTGCCTCTGTTTGTACCTAACCACCTTTGCATGGAGGGCTGTTTTCTACCAACTCTCAATGATGAGGAGAAATTCCTTCCAAGTTTATGAAAAGAGACGGCTGAACAAAGTGCTGCTGCTGAGGAGAAGGTGGCCAGCAGCAAGCCTGGAACTTTCTAGCCCCTGGAAAATCCACTTTGATTGCCATCCAGGCGGGAAGGGAAGGCACAGCTCCCATGTTTCTCATCCTCTTTCTCACGTAACAGCTACTGAACCACTGCCAGCTGCACTCCCGTGCGGTAAAGACCAGGGAGGTGATCTCTGGTTTACTTTAACACCCCGTGCTGTTTAGCACCGGAGTCATGAGGAGCTGCATCACCCGGGCTAAGAGCAGGAGACGGCTGGAGGCAGGCGAGCGTGGCTGCTCTGGGAAGGCATCCCGGCTGTGGAGGCACAGCGTGGATGGGGCACAGCCTGCCGATGTAATTCTGCTGCCAGCATGACAAATGGTGTCTGGGACAAAAGGTGACAAATGCAGGAGCAGGATTTTAGGGGCATGGCAGCTAAGCCTGTCTAGTTTAGGGTTTTCTTTCAGTGCGTAACACTCCTCTCTCCCGACAGAGCTAACCTCTTAGCCACTTTATTCAGACGGGACAGGTGAGGAAGGGCTGGAAATGCTCTCTGGTCTGCTCAGCATTCCCGCAGGGTGCTGTCACGCGCTAGCAGAGGATTTAGGTGGTTAGTAGTGACCTTTGAGCAGTATCCCACTCCCCTGGGAGCTGCAGGTAGGGGCTGTGCACAGGTCTTCTGCCCTTGCAATGCAAGTCTCTCTGTTAGCAAATAAAATGACATCCTAAGTGCTGTGAGAGCATCACAAAGGACAGGTGATAAGTTCCCTTGGCTCGATCTGTTTTATCACCCTTCCCTCCCGCAACTAATGGCCATTTTGATGTTGTCATGACCAGCAGCAGGATGCGGGCTCGAGGTCTCGCTGTTGTGAAAGCTGCTGTGTCCCAGGCATCCCTCTTCTCCATAAACCTGGAATCTCCTTTCCCTCGGGTGGCTTCCTTGTGGTTTCCAGCTGCCAGGTTGGTAGGAGGAGAGCAGTAAACTTAGATAATAAACATATATCAAAGAAAAGCACAAAGTTCCTGCTGCCTCTCAAAGGAAAATGTCAAGACCCATGTCCACGTGTGAATAGTCGGAAGGAAGGTGGGTGCAAGGGCATGTGTGGAGGAAATCTCCTCTAGGCTCCCTCTTTTCCTGAGGAAGCTGAAGCAATGCATGCCAGTGCAAAGGAAAAATCCCTCCGCTTGGCTCTGAGCTGGTTCTTTATCAGAAAGGCATTATCTGGGTAATTAGCTCTGCCTGTGAGTACAAATGTCTTTGGCTCTTTCATGCATGTGAGCCTGCAAGGAGAGGTTTGCTGAAGCATCCCTGTGTTGCTCCCATTATGCGCAGCTACAATTCAGTGAGGAAGCCTTGTCCTGCCAGCTCACGCTGTAATTAAAGTGAGGCTTCACCGCCACGTGCTCTCGTCTCTGCTTTTGTGATAATTAAGTGGCTCTGGCCTGTTGCATGATGAAGTTTGCTCTTTGTCCCCCATTTGTGTTTGAAAGCGCAGTGGGACAGGTTCTCTCTTCTGATCCAGCCCTGCTTGTGTAGCAGCAGATACTGGTGCTTTGAAGTTGGTATAAGCATGTCCTGGTGCTTCTTCCACAGCAGGAAAGGTGGTTCAGTCAGCTCACCTAAGATGCAGTAACCCCCACGCATCTCCCCATCGCCCCTCGTAGCATCCTTCAAGGAGTTTGGGTGACAGCAGTAGCTCTTGTTCCCTCCATTTCTGTCCCTGAGAGCAATTCTTGTGTTTGCTATTCCTCTTCTCTGTACCTTCCTGCTCCCTCCAGCCGCTCCCCAGAGCCTGCCCTGGGAAGGACTAGCCTGATGTGGGCACGACTGGTGGCGATGGTTCGGTTCCTCAGGCTGGGTTCCCTGAGCATTGATGCAACGTGGGAGCTTTCAGCAGCAAATTGCATCTTATATTTCTTCTTTTTCTAAAGCTCCTTGCCAGAAGGCAGGAAGGACTCGAGGTGGGATTGGAGCAAGGGGAGCATTCTCCTCCCAGGCTGGTGATGGTTTTTTTTCCCATAAATTTTCATTATGGAGAGATAAAAGTGGGAGCGTAGGAAGTCTTCCAGGCTTGGTCCTGGCCATCCTTGGAGGTGGTTGCACACATCTTGGATCCTCTTTCAGCAGACCATCATTTGGCTGTCTGTATTGGACACAGCACTGTGCTAAGTAAAAGATAAGCACTTCTGAGTCTGTCTCTCAACACCGTTGTTTCCAACAGTTGACTCGGGAGCTGTCAGGCAGGATTGAGAACTACACAGTGTCTCTTCTCAATTACACGGGTGCAAATCCAGAGGATTTCACTGGATCAGTACCAAAAATAACAGTCCTTTCAGTGAGCTGTGAACCTGGCTGCAGCAGGAGCACTGAAGGGACGTGGGGATCCTGGCATCGCTGCCAGGAAAAACAGCTTGGGAAGGAGCTCGCCGAAATGGTTTTGGTGACCTGTTCCCGTTGTACGTGTTAAAAGCAGGTAGCATGCAGAGAGCCTGCCTCCGTGGTATTAATGCAAAATTCCTTGGCATTTGACTGTGTCCTGCGAGAGTCCTTGGTTAATTATATTTCACAGGGGTCACTCCAGTGTGAATTTCAGATTTAGATGCTTAATGAATAGGAGTAACTACCTATTCTAGGGGAAGGAGCAAGTGACCATCCCAGCTCCTGGGAGCATAGACTGTTTTCCTGAACAAATTGTACCATGAGCTGGTTTCTCATGAAATATTTATTTGCTGGGCCACTCGGGGCCGTTTGAGTGGCCCTCAAAAAGGTTATTAACACACAGATGGAGGTGCAGAGACTGTTTATTAAATTCAGATTGCCTTTTGCTACTGTGCTAATGCTAATTGGATAGCAGAAAAAATTACCCTGACCCCCTCCCATGCCTCAGCTGCCTGGGTTCACAACAGTGCCAGCATATGATCGGGTACGAGAACGGAGGGAAGCTGTTGGCAAAAGCCTGCTTCCCTCCCTGTGTCTTTGCTGTGCTCCTGCACAGAGCTGGCTTCCCCGTTTCTGATGGTACAGGGACAGATGCCCACGAAGTATCTTGTTCATGGTCTTGGGTATGGTGCTGGATCATACTGCAGGTGCTCTGTATTGCTCTGGCAGCATGGAAGAGGTTTACGGAGCAAAAACAGTCTTTGGGGAATACAAAAGGCTTGCCCAGGCAGCACAGAGCTGGTGGAAGGGCTGTGTCCTCACCCTGTTCCAGGTCTGTGATGGAGGTTGAAAGTGGTATTGCCATGACACTCCAGCTCTTTTCCTTCTTAGACCCTCTGGCATAAGGTGGAGCAGCCTTGAAGTGGCTCTGACTTGCGGCATGGCCGTAGCATCATCCAAAACAGCTAGAGGAACCCACCTCTTCCTTCAAGCTCCTGCCCCAAATGCAGAAACAGGGCTCCTTTTTCTTTGTCCAATTTAAAATAAATCAAAACCATTTATTTTTTCATGGGAAAAAGATGAATGAAACAAATGCTTAGCGGTGCCTTTAGGAAAGCTTGTGTCAGGGTGTTTGTGTGTCTCATGGCCACCGCTAACCAGAAGACTACTTCTCTAGGTTGAGGACAGACCTGAGCCAGTCCTTGACTCCTGGGTCACAGCAACGAGCACTTTGGCTCTTGTTCAGTTTTAACACTGCTTTTCTTCTTCCTTCAGGCTATGAAAGTCCTCTCCAAAAAGAAGCTCTTGAAGCAGTATGGATTTCCGCGTGGGTATCTCACATTTAGAGGTCTGCCTGTTGTCCTCAGCCAGGCAAATCTCTCTGTAGAAACATTGTCTGCAAGGACTGCAGAACTTGCCCAAGTAGTTGGGGGGCTGGTTAAAATGCAGTGGGTAGTGAAAGGGCAGGCACAACCGCAGGGAAATTCAACGCTCTCAGTAATTAGGTTCCTGGCTTTGATTTTCTGAGTCTCTTTGAAGTGCTGACTCTTCCGTGTTCACCATCTGTGAAGCCTAATTAAGTGCTGGAAGTTAGGCAGGGTAGACCCCCTGCTCCCAGGGGCTCTCCTACCCCCTCAGATAGCGCCTGGCTCCAGTGGCTGGGCCATGGGACCTGGCAAACAGACCAAGCTGGGAAGCCAGTAGGAGCTGGTCTGAATGGGGCTTGGAGATCTCTGTTCTGGGTGGAGACTGTAACACTTTGGGGTGATAACAGGATGATGAGATCTTCTAGAATAGCTGGAGGTATCTGCAGAGGGGCTGGTGGCTGCTCACTCCTGCGGGCCAAGTGCTGCTGAAAAACGAATAGTTCTTCACCATGTTATCACGATTGCAGGTCGGCCTCCTCCCAGAGGGTCGAAAGCATCCTCCGGAGAGCAGCCAAAACCCATGGCACCACTGGACAGAGTCTATCAGGAAATAGCCATCTTAAAGAAACTGGACCATGTTAACATCGTAAAGCTGATAGAGGTGAGCTGCTTCTCCGCCCTAAGCTACACTGAAACAAGTCTGGTTTGTATTGCAGCAAGAGGATCTTTCTTCAACTGCTCCTACTTCAGCCAAAATCGGTTTAAAATAGTTGTTCAGAAATTTAGGCTGGTGATTCCAAGCAAGATCATACCGATTATGTATGACAAACTGCCATACTTATCCTGGGCGTTGGGCTGGTGCCCAAGAGAAGGCAGCTGCCTCTGCTGGTAGAAATAGCAGCAAGCTTTGACCAGTGAAACTTGTGTAGACAAGCCTGGGAAGGTGCACAAGTGCAAGGCTTCGGTGCCGTTTTCAATGTTGGCTGAGGTCAGATTAGGACAAGCAGTGCCTTTATTGTTAAGCTGTTTCTCAAATACAGGCAGAAGCCCAGATTTTTCTGGAGACAGGAAAATCTGTGTCCTTCAAAGCCCCTCTCTCTGCAGGAATCTCTAAATATTAGCCTAAGTCATTCTCAATGCTCTGCAGCTCAGCACAATGTACAGGGAGCAGTAAAATGTTGTTTGATTAAAAATCTCTTTTTTTTGTCCTGCTGTTCTTCCTCTTTTTCTCCTTTCCGCTTATCTTTCTGTTATCAATTACAGGTCCTTGATGATCCTGCAGAGGACAACTTGTACATGGGTATGTGAGTCATTATATGCTAACAGAACCGTCTGGGTTTAAACCTAGTGATGCAAGTAACATGTACCAGGGCTCGGGGTCAATGCCAGGAGGAAACTTGTACCAACTTCAGCGGACTTTTTTTTTCTGAAAAGCTAAATGCCTGTAAAGGCAGTGGGATGGAAAGGCTCCTTGCAGTAGGGTGAGGCAGCCTTGTGTCTTAGTACAGCTGTGCACATCTCCTTGCCATGGGGACACTAAAAAGACATGACAGCAGCTCTGCCCTCCTCTATATATATGTCGGTTCCAGTCCTAGAGCCAGGAGAGAAGGGAAAGGTGCATGATGGTTTCTTGTCCTCCTGGTATGAGGTTGGTCTCTCCAGACTCCTCCTATAGGCTGTGGATAGCGGTAGTGACTCTGGAAAGCAGTCTTGTCTCAGGGTGTTCCCTGTGACCCCAGCAGAGGCACTGACCACCCTGCTGAGCCTTGGGACCTCCTAAGACAGCAGCATGCCTGCCTTTGGCCTCTGAGCCCAGACCCTGCCATGGGGTGCTCAGATGGGAGGCCATAGCTGACCATAGCTCGTGTTTATGCAGAGGGTGAGGAATTTCCGCCCATTTTGTCTTTCTCTTCCCCAAACCTTGGAAGTGCCAGCCGCAGCCTAACCCCCATTTGGGCAAAACCTGGAGGGACAGGCCTGGGAGGCACTGAGGTACCCTCTGAGATGGGCCAGAGAAGGGAGACGTCCGACCCTGTTACATCTCTGCTTCCCTGTAAAGTTTCCTGATGAGACAGGCTCAAAGGCTGCTTCTCATGAAATAATTATGGGATGCTTTTGAAGCTGCCTGTGAAAGGGGGCTCGGCCTAGCAAATGAAGCTATTTGCCTTTTAAAGGCTGCTTTTCCCTTCCGGCTGAAGCCCCAGTGGCACTCTGGCAGCATCGCAAAGCGGCCGCCAAGACAGATGCACATGTGGTGGGGAGGGTGGCTGAGGCCGTTGTTTAAAGGCCTGAACTCCTGGGGATGGAGAGAAGGGGAGAGGTGAGGTAGCAAGCTTTTTTTATTGAATGAAAATAAATGCATGACGAAGCCAAAAAAGCTGCAGAAAAGAAAAAGAAAAAAACCAAACAAAACAAACCCCAAACCAAGCTCTCCCTGTGGAGCAAGATAACAGTCCCAGAAATGGCAGCAATAGCAGCAGGACAAGTGGGAAATGTCTTGGCCCTGTTGGGGGTCCTGGGCAGGTTGCACTAGTCCCTGGGCAGCGAGCAGTGGCTGTGTCCGTATTGTCCATGCCCCATTGCCTCTTTGCTCCCCTTTGCTCTGCCTGGGATCCCGGGAGTGGTTTGGGCTAAGCAATGCAAGCAAATCAAGCTCCTGCCTCTGCAGTTCCCTCGGCAGCAAGGGGAAGCTGTGGGTGCTCAGTGCTGCTCAGGATTGAACCTTCTGCAAGTGGGCTTCCTCCCTCCTGCTGCTGACCCAGCTGATGATAACTGCACCTTTCTGCTTCCAAAAATGCCCTCCCACTACAAAGCAAAACTAGAGAAAGTGGAGTTTGCTCTTTGCTAATTACTGCTGGCATTAAGTACTGCTGTGAGCACTCTGCTACATGCTCATTGGGAAGAAAGCAGAGGATGGGGGATGCTGATAGAAATTGAGCAACCTGCGGTGGCACAAGATGGTTGAATAATGAAATGCTACCACAAGCTGCAGCTTCTTCAGCCTGGAGAGCAAGATGAGCCAATGCAGGCTGGCTTGTTGTGTTTGTACCTTCAACTGGTCTAACATCGCAGCTGTAAGCAGGGCTGCCTGGTGCTTTGGGGAGGGTGATCTGCTTGGTTTTCTTGGGAGGTGCAAGAAATCCCTTAGTAATTTGTGAGGAAAGAGCTCTCCTACTACATTGCCCTTAACCCCTAAATCAGAGACAAAAACTCATGTGCTCTACAAACCTCGACTCACACCAACAAATCCTCTCCAATTGCTCCTGCCAAGGAGCGTTTACGTCTGACAGCCATGTAGCTGTCCTGCTGATTGACACAGCAGAAATGGAGCAACATGTTCTTACAGCATCTCGTTCAGTATCAGCAATTTAGCAGAAATATCACACCAAACACCCTCCCTGAAGGTACTGAGTAAGACGGGGCTCAAATCAGCAAGGGCTGACACCGGGAGCAGCAGAAATGTGGTTGATAAATTAGCACCTGCTGTCTCCCTGCGTGGAGCTGGCGGGATATTTGTCTTTGCTGAAGAGATGAATATTTTCATTTTGCATCCTCTGGTGTCCTTGTCATGGGTGTGGGAAGAGAATTGAGTAGAGATAAATTGATTTTGCAGGTATGGGAATAGATGTGGTTTTGTAGGTGCTAAAAAAAACGGAATAAGCTCAATCCCCTCTTCTGATTCATTCATGGTTTGATTTCCTTTTCTTGCAGTGTTTGACCTCCTAAGGAAAGGGTAAGTAGCCCTCCTGGGATCTCTTGTGTTGAAATTTTTGGTGTGCATCATTAGCTTCCTAAGTGAAATAGCGGTTTGATATGTACAGTGGGGCAAACTGCTGTCTGCAGGCAAGTGCAGAGGAGTCAAAATCCAGCTGTAGTTGCCTTTGCACTGTACAGCCTGGAATGATGTGGTGAATCGTAATGGGCTGGGAGAACGTGTCCTGGTGTCAGGCTTTGATCCGGAAAACAAATTTGATGCCAATTCCCCATCAGGTGCCTGGAAGAAAAGGTTTTAATAGGAATACTGTGCTGGGGTAACAGCTACATCGTGGCTTCCTCTGGTACAAGGGGTGTGTGGTTGCATCAACATTTACTTGCCACCTGCTGCCTTATTTTGCCCCTAGCGCTAACATGTTGTGGGAAGCTGTTTTGTTGGCATGTTTTTCCATAGCAGGAGAAGTGATAAGGTGGTGGAAGTCTCCTCGCTGCTTTTTGCTACACCTGCGCTGATTCTGCAGCTCTGCAGAGTTACAGTGAGGTCAGGAGAGCTGTGCCCAGGATGGGGGAGATTCCCAAAGGGCTTATTTTTCTCTCTGGCCCCATGCACAAGCCTCTTGCAGGCTGCTAGCTCCAGCGGGTTGCTGGTGAGAGGCTCCCCAGTCTCCCTGGTGACCAGGCTGATGACTATCCTGTAGGAGACAGGGAGGGGGGGGGGAAAAAAAGCTCCTGTAAGCTGTGGCCAGGGAATGTGCAGCTCGGCCGAGCGCAGCCTGTCTGCCTCTAGCAGAAGGCAATTAGACTCCATTAGTGGCTCTGCCAGTCCTGCCACTCACACTATTTCTCCCTGGTTTCAGCAGCAGAAAAACGTGCATGAAGAGGGAGGGAAGGCAGTGGCAGAAAAATGCAAATGGGAGATGCAGGTCGTCGATCAAATGGCAGCAAGGCAGAAGAGAAATGCCGCAGGAAGGATTTGCTGCTGGGTGCTGAGGGGAAGTGCTGCAGAGCCTGATTTTGGCGATGGGCTATTCTCAGCCAGGGTTTGACTTGTAAGGACAGTGTCTCGGGAGCACTCACTTAAATCCACCCTGAGTCAGTGGGCGTATGTCCAAATGCAAGGTCAAGCTGCTGAGCACAAGCAGGATTAACCCCCAGTGCAGTGAAGTTCTTAGCTCCTGCCATTCATCCACGGGGGAACAGAAGATGCTGACTAGCTCTTACAGCCTCTTTGCCCTCAGCTTTCAGCAGGCTCAGGCAGAAGAGGGGCTTTTAGAGGATACTGTGCATCTCTCAGCAGTGGCGGCATACAAAGGAAAGGAGAGGAGAAGCTGACCAGGTAACCTTGGCTGTGTAGGGCTGAATGGCTGTGTTCTGGTGGTGGCTGAACCCTGAAAAGCAAAATAGGTTTTCAAAGCAGTTTAGCACAATGCACTGGAAATATTTCCACTTAACCTTTAAGCCAGTGGTTCGTGTCTAGATTCTGCCTTGGTTTAGACTAGCTGCACGCTGATGTTGCTTCAGGACTGAGCCCCAGCAGGCATGACATCCAGTGCACAGCAAAGGGCATTCAATCCCCACTGCTGCCTGGTACCTGCTGGTGAAGCTGGTGCTCACAGCCATGAGCAACTTTAGCAAGAAACCAAAGGCCAGATCCAGTTTTGTTCTTTCACTACACTTTTCCCGTTAGGACTCTCGGTGAATGAAGTGTTTGCCCTATTTCGTGCGGACAGCAGCAGTTAATCCTGGTGTTGGTGAGGGCTCTGTGGCTCATGCTGGCTCAGGGACTGTGCAAAGCCACCCGTCACCGCTAGCTGAGCTCACTAACCTAGGTGTCACCACGTCCAGAAAGGATGGCTGCGCCTCCGTCCTGTGTCACAGCATCCAGAACCTCTTGGGAGCCTGGCCCTCAATGCTGGGGACATAGTGATGGAGGACCTACAACTCCTCCAGCAAGGAGAGTTACTGCCATTCTGCAAAGTTCTTAATTCCTCTCCCTCTTCCTAACAGGCCTGTCATGGAGGTACCAAGTGACCAGCCCTTCAGTGAGGAGCAGGCTCGGCTCTACTTCCGAGACATCGTCTTGGGCATTGAGTACTGTGAGTACCGCCAGCGCTGACAGCAGCTTTGCAGAGCGCGTGTGTTGGCCTCCTGCTCAGCTGGGGAGAAGCCTCTCGACTGGTGGGCTGTCAGTTGAGTGAGCGAGGTCCCCTCTAATTGCATGTGACAGGGTTTGCAGTTGGTGGTGTTCCCGCTCAGCTCAGATTTACCCAGGCAGCATCACAGATGCCAGGAGCAGGCATTCCTTAGAAAGGACATGATGAAAATAGTGGCTTTCTTTTTTCTTCTATTTATCTCTTTTTGGAGAGCATCTTTGAAGGCAATAGCAGAGCCAGAAAATGGATGTTTGCAGTGACAGACTGAGTCAGTTAGCTTTAGCTGGAATAAATTGCTGTCTCCAACTTAGCAGGGCAAGCGCCGGCCGTGGGGAGAGCAGGCGAGCAGTGCTGGGAGGGTGTCTGCCCTTGTCTGCTCCCTCCACAGCATCGGTTTCTGACTTGTCGTCATTCAGGGCTGTGTTGTGACGAGAGCCCAGCGGTGCTGTGCCCTCCAGGGAGGTGGTGACTCAAGTTCCCAGGCTCCGTCTGGGGACTCTAGCGGCAGGTTTCCTGTTTGTAGCCTATTTGATTATCGTCACCTTTTTTTGTAAGTCTTCTCCCAATGTGGCTGAGGCCAGATTCTTTGCTGAGTGCCTGTCCTGAAGAGTACAAGGAGGCCACGATAGGTCTGGAAATGACAGCAGGGATTTTTTTGACCCTGTTGTAGTTGACGTCCCTGCTAGCAAGAACCTGGCAGGGGTGGGAGAAGAGGGGTCCCTGAATTGAAGACACAAGGTAGAGTGGTCTATGTGCTGGCATCTTGTGAGCATGGGCCCCGAGGAGCAGCGACGGCTGGCTGGTGTTTCCCCTCATGGACTCTTAGCAGAGCTGGCATGTCCATGTAACCTCTCGCTCTCTGCAGCGGGGGATGTCAGGCTGTCAAATGGTGCATTTTGCTCACTGCTGATCTGCAGACCTTGTGCTGCAGGCTTCATGGCTGGCTTCTCTTCTGACCTGTGCCAGCAGTAGGAGGACACCCATGAAATTGCTGGTTGCTTTCTTTTCTGTAAGACAGACCTCTGAAAGTAGCAAGCACAATAGAGCTGCGCATTTATCAGCTGATTCTCTGTCAGAGAACCTGGTGCTTTGATGTGGTGTGGTGCTGGTAGCTGGCATTACTCCCATGCTGTGTCTAAACATATTACACTGTGCATTCCCACTCCTCCTGAGCCTCCCACCAGCCTTGTCACCAAGTCAGAAGGCACAACTCAGATCCCCTGTTGCTCACTCACATTAGCCTGAGCCCCTTCTCTTCCTTTTCCAGCAGAAGGTCCCTGCCTTTATCCTCAGCGCTGCTCCTTGCACTGGAGCAGTTTATGCACAGGCTGCTACCAGGGACCCATGTAGCATGGAGGTACCCATGAGTCGGCTGGTCTGCGATTACCGCTTGTGTACCAGCGTTGTCAGACAAAACTGCTGGTGAGCTGCGTTTGTCTCTATGCCTGTTTGATTCTGCTGTCCTCCTTGTTGACAGCTCTCCATAGAGTTTAGTGATCTCATCGTTGACTGCTTTCTCTGCACATTGATGCACTAAAGAATTGACCATGGTTGGATGGCTGAATATGAGGAGGGAGAGATGATACACCTTTTGCAGAGGCAATTCATGCCTTGCAGATCTATTCGTTTTCCTGAGGAGTCAACAAACATGTAGATAAGGTGATCCTGTTACTACATCGTGTTTTGATTGCCAAACAGCTTTTGAGCAGATAAAGAAGCTCATAAGTCTCTTTGGTTGGATGGCCTCTTGTGGATTAATAACTAGACAATCAGGAAGGTAGGAATACAGCTTTCACAATGGAGAAAAGTCACTAGTGCAGTTAAACAGGAATCCATAATGTGGCCTGGGTTGTTCAATATATTCCTAAATGACCAGAAAAAGGGTAGAGTACAGTAAGAGAGATTGGTGATGACATCTAGTTATTCAGGATAGTCATTGTTAGAACTGACTGCAAAGACTGGCAGGAAGATGCCATGATAGCAAGCGACAGCATGATAAAATGGCAGATAAAAATTCATGTTGCTGACTGCAGGATAATGCATGAGGGGGAGAAACAACACTAAAAATACGTATGTAGTGACAGGCTCCAAATCAGCTGTTCTCACTCAAGCTTCGTTCTGGATAGTTCTCTTGAAAATGCCAGCCCATTACTTAGTGACAGTCAACAAAGCTAATAAGATTTGGGGAGTTCTTGGGAATGAAATAAAGAAGAAAACAGAAAATGCCATTATATAGTTATTTGGATCTGTAAGAGCTTTTAGATACAGGCAAGGAGTATCTTGAATATTTTGCGCAACTCGGCTCAGCCTGTATTAGAAACAGTTCTCTAGAACTGAAAAAAGCCTGAGAAGGGTGATCAGGATGGTCTTGGAATATCTTCTATACAGAGACGGAACATCTTCTGTACAGAGATAAGACCAAAGCTCTTAAGATTTGAAACTTATCATGGGAAGGGGTGATATGACAGAGGCTTATAAAATCCTAAGTGTCAGGAAAGTGGTGAACAGGGAATGAATCTTCTCTGTCTCTAAAAATACAAGAACTGAGGGGTAGCAAACAAAATAATCAGGTAGCAAGTTTAAACCAGAAGGAATTACTCTTTCATGTAGCATGTAATTAAATTGACGTTCATAGCTAGGGGAGATAGCAGGTGCCAGAACTAAATGGGCTCAAAGTGATTAAACAAGTCTGTAGAAGAAAAGAGCATCATGGACTATGAAATATGAGGATGCAGGCAGAGTTTGCCATCGGGCTGCCTAAAGCAGGGAGTATGGGTACTGAAGGTGTTACATCTCTCTGCCTGATGCTTTTCCCCAAGCTATTGACCCCGGGAGGAGACAGGGTGCTGGGGTAGGTGGCCTTTGGCTTGGCTCCTCTTCCATCCAGCAGCTTGTCCACACCATCCTTGAGGTTATCGCTGTGCTGACCTGATGGCAGAGGTAGCTGCGCTGTGCCAGGTTCTGAGAGACTGATGTAGGTTAGCTTGGTGTCTCTCAGGCGTAGCAACCTTTCATAAACCTGGCTTACTGTGGCAGTGCAAATGCATGGGTTTGGTAGTAAATCTGAAGGCAGGGCAGCCAGCAGAGGGAGGGACAAGGACGCTTGAGCAAGTGATCGTCATCTCCAGTCAATGAGCAACGTGCAACGCATGAAAGGTCAGATGTGTGCGAGACAGAGCCGTGTCACCCTCACCATCTAGTGAGACTTTTCCAGCTGTTTCAACCTTTGGAAATAAATATCTGCTTCTTTCACAAACCAGAGGGAATTTTCAGATGTGCTTTCAAAAAGCCAACATGTAGCTGTGTCAAACTCAAAAGGAATGTTTCATGCTGCCGTAGTGCTTTGAGCCTTGTCTGCCTTCGTTTCACCGATCTCCGGTGGCCTGTGCAAGCTCAGCAGCTCCTCAGAGCCAGAGCAAGCCCCTTGCTTTTGTTGAAGACTCACGTGGTTTCAAAAACCTGCAGAGAACAAGTCTCTGAGTGTAAAGGGCCTTGCCGAGGCAGAGGAAGGTGGTTTGCAGTGCCTTGGTCCATCTCCACATTGAAATGCAACACCACCTCATTTTTTGTCTAAAACCAGTGGGTGGGAATGAAATCAATGTTTGCAAGTCTCTGACAGTCCAGAAGCTTCCAGGTTGTGCCAAAATCAGTCAGGTCACCCCAGGAAGTCAGTGGAAATGTATATATGGAAATGTATATATGAATGGGAAGCACAAGACTATTTTTCAGTAGATTTTGAAGGGCGAAGACTGCAGCTTTTTATATTCTCATTAACATTCATACTATAGCAGAACCTGTATGCCTCAGCTGGAAGATCCAAGCTCTGCTGTGCTGGGTGCTGCTGGCGTAACAGTTCCTGCTCAGAGGAAACTTTAAGTTTAGAAGACAGTCAAAAAGAAAAAAGAAGTAAAGTGTGGGTCGTCCTAGGCAGAGGGAGTGAAACAGGGCAATAAATTATAGGATGCCCGAACACTCTCAACAACAGGAACAATAGGATGCTTTATTTTGGGCTATTGAGTAACCACTTACTTTATTAGCAAATGAAAGTTAAAAATGGTGTTCTCTCGGAACTGCTGGGTAAATGCGTGGCAATTATTATGTAATTACAGAGGAAAGTGCACCGTTTGTGCACGCTGAAGAAAAAGTGTTGCCAGGCAATCTAGAGATTGCAAGGTAATTTTAATGTAAGCATACATAATTGTTATGTAATTTGGGAGACTCAATAACCATGCAGCTGCTTGAAACTCGCAGTGGTCACAGCAGCGAATGCATCATTGCTAGTTAGGGTTTATTAAATTAGAAGTTGCAAACTGGATTCCTGTGGGAGCCTGCAAGGAGTTAATCCAGGCCAGTGGACTGCCCTTGGTGCCAAATGGTACATGGTGAGTGGGAAGGGGCCGCAGGAGCCAAGCTGATGGGAAATGTGAACTGACCTTTTAAATTACCGGTGGTAGCACGCGGCTCACGGCCGCTGTGTGTCTGTGGGGACTGGACTCCGCTCATTACTCGTGACACTTGCCTGGGGTGAAGGCCTCCTGTGAGAGGGCTGGCTCTGGGGAGGAGTGTTTGGAAGAAAGCAATGGTCAGTGTGATAAGAGCAGAAACATCCCATGCCGGGTGGGAAGCCTGGCTTAGGCACAGTGGGCGGCAGGGACAGATGCCCTGGAGAGAGCCGAGAGCTCCCCCATCCAGGCAATGGGACAGTGTTGCCTTGCTTTGTCGACTGCTTTTGGCTGGGTTTCTGAATTTAGTACATTTAATACTGAGAAGTGCACTTTGATATGTGCAAGGTCTCAGCCTTGTTCACTGATCAATGAAGAAACAGAGGCAGGTTCAAGGTTTGAGAGCTGGGAAAATATTTTAAGCTTAAGTGTGGTAATATTACTGGTTCACCTGTTCTGTTTTCATATGCCTGTCTTAAACCCGGGCTCTGTTGCCCAGAC